GAGTTTGAGACCAGTTTAACATGGTGAAACCCTGTCTCTTCTAAAAATAAAAAAATTAGCGGGGCATGGTGGCCTGCACCTGTAGTTTCAGCTACTTGAGAGGCTGAGGTGAGAGACTCACCTGAACCTGGGGAAGCAGAGGCTTCACTGAGCTCTGATCATACCACTGCAATCCAGCCTCGGTGACAGTTAGACCCTGTCTCAAAAAAATAAAAAATAAATTAAAAAAAGAATTTATCATGAACAGTTAATACATGCACATGGTTGGAAACAAAGGATACTGTTAAAACAGTTTCTTAGACAAACTGATTACAAGTGCATATCAAATTTTAATTTCAAGCGTGTTTCCTTTCCAAGCAGGCTAAATAGTCCTCTTAGACATTTTGTAGGAAAGAAGCATGTTAGAATCATTAATATTAGCCTGGAGAAAGCAAATAATGTCTGGAATCATTAGCTATCTTCTAAATCTGGTTAAAGGTAACTATCCTGTGCCAAGGCTGACAGTGAGCTAGATGAACTGTTTTTTTTTTTTTTTGAGACAGGGTCTTGCTCTGTTGCTTAGGCAGGAGTGCAGTGGTGCGATCATAGTTCAATGCAGCCTTGAACACCTGGGCTTAAGGAATTTTTCCACCTCAGCCTCCCAAGGACTACAGGCACGCGCCTGGCTAGTTTTTTAAACAAAATTATTGTTATTTTTATTATTATTATTATTTTGAGACAGAGTCTTGCTCTGTTGTCCCCACTGGAGTGAAGTGGTGTGATCTTGGCTCACGGCAACCCCCACTTCCCGGGCTCAACCTCCCAGGTAACTAGAACTACAGGCAGGTGCCACCAGGCCTGGCTAATTTTTGCATTTTTAGTAGAGACAAGGTTTCACCATGTTGCTTAGGCTGGTCTTGAACTCCTGAGCTTAAGTGATCTTCCCACCTCAGCCTCCCAAAGTGCTGGTATTACAGGCATGAGCCACTGTACCTGCCTTACAGTTTTTTGTAGAGATGAGATCTTGCTCTGTTGCCCAGGCTGGTCTTCAACTCCTGGGCTCAAGTGATCCTCTGGCCTCAAGTCTCCTAAAATGCTGTTACTACAGGCATAAGACACCATGCCTGGCCAACCCATTAAAGTCTATCAGAAATGGTAGGAGCTTTTCTAAAGGAGTAGCACATGACACCAGACTATAATACTCACGTTTGAGGCTGGGTGTGGGGGCTCATGCCTGTAATCCCAGCACTTCGGGAGGCCAAGGTGGGCGGATCACTTGAAATCAGGAGTTCCAGACCAGCCTGGCCAATATTGTGAAACTCCATTTCTACAAAAATTAGCCAGGTGTGGTGGTGTGCACCTGTAGTCCCAGCTATTTGGGAGGCTGAGGCAGGAGAATCACTTGAAACCAGAGGGGGTGGAGGTTGCAGTCAACTGAGATTGTGCCACTGCACTCCAGTTTGGGAGACAGAGTGAGACTCTGTCTCAAAAAATAAATAAATAAATAAATAAATAAATAAATAAATAAATAAATAAATAAAAATAAAACTCAGGTCAGAAACACATCTTTCTCAGTATACAGTCTTGCTGCAGATTTTGTAAGCACACAGATGGTTAAGCATACAGAATCTGGAAGAAGACTGGATTCTAGATCTATCACTTACTAGCTCTGTGATCTGGCGCAGGTCAGGCATTTGAATTTTAACCCGTAGGCCCGAGATTGATTGATTGATTCCTTCCTTCCTTCCTTCCTTTCTTTTCTTTTCTTTCTTTCTTTCTTTCTGAGGGAGTCTTGCTCTGTCGCCCAGGGTGGAGTGTAATGGTGTGGTCTTGGCTCACTGCAACCTCTGCCTCCTGGGTTCAAGCGATTCTCCTGCCTCAGTCTCCTGAGTAGCTGGGATTACCGGCGCCCTCCACAATGCCCAGCTGATTTTTGTATTTTTAGTAGAGACAGTGTTTCACCATGTTGGTCAGGCTGATCTTGACCTGCTGATCTGGTGATCTGCCTGCCTCGGCCTCCCAAAGTGCTTGGGATACAGGCGTGAGCCATGCACCCGCCAGATTTCTAAATCGAGCTGATTGTCAGGAACATCCAGGGAGCTTTCAAAAATGATTCCAGGCTGAGGCTGGGCGGCGGTGGCTCACGCATGTAATCCCAGCACTTGGGAGGCCGAGGGTGGGTGGATCACCGGAGTTGGGAGTTTGAGAGAGCCTGACCAACTTGGAGAAACCCATCTCTACTAAAAATACAAAAATTAGCCGCGGT